TTAGGGTTTAGGGTTTAGCCTTCAACACCTGGCAATCTTTGACCTGCTTTGATTACTCTGCAGTCAGAACCTGGCGCACAACAAAAACCATCACAAACGATGTTGAGGCTGGGCAGCTACAAGCCGTCAGAAGTGAGGGGCTTAAGGCCTAGGGCTTACGTTTTGGGGTTTTCAAGTTTTTGGCAGTCCCGATTTTACTTCTGGTTTAGTGTCAAGTCAGTTCACATAGACATAGTAGATTTCGCATTACGAGCGTCCCCATGGTGACATCCAATCCAAAGTACACACTCACCACCATCCCCAGGGAACCTACGCACACACTCACACAAACCTAAATCAAACCCCAACTCATGCCCTAATCCCGAAACCCTAAACCCTGAACCCTAAACCCTAATCCCTAAACCCTAAACCCTGAACCCTAAGCCACAATCAGCGGGGCGGATCAAGAACGACAGCAAGCCCAGGCCTAGCGTCTCGAGCTCTTGGAAACGTCCAGAGCCCATGATGTAGTCGTAGATTGCACAGGGAGGTTGAGCATGGTCCTCTTCTGCCAGAAACTTCAACCCAAAAGCCTTTAGGGTTTAGGGTTTAGGTTTAGGGTTTAGGGCCTTGCAGGCCCTAATGCTTTAAGTCCCTGAAACCCTCAACCCCAAGACAGAGAAGACAGCAGTTTGGGGTTGCGGGACCAGGTGGAATAGGAGTTGTGCTCCTTTCATAGTAGGTGGCTAGGGGTTGTGCAAGCAATCATTACAGTATGGTGCAATGGAAGCCACTGCGTGCATGTCTTGCATAAGGACATCATGCGTGGAATGCAACAGCTCTGAGTCTTCAGAAATTCGAACTACACGAAAGGATCCCGAAGAGAAAGATTAATAAGGAACATGTTCAGGCCTTCTTATCACAAGAGCATAAGGGTATTGTCTAAATTAGGGTCCCTCTTAGGGTCCTTTTTATAAGGGTGCCGTACCATAATGGGGAACTATAAAGGGACCCCAATTTAGAGAACTACCCAATAAGTATACTGCAGGCTACACTCTCCCCCAACTCAGAGACTCCAAAACCCCGTAATTAAGGATTATACCTTAAATTATAATAGGATCCCTACTATGATTTAAGGT